ATTATAAGAAAATGTGGTTAACATATGAATCATCTATATTAATTTCACTGTGATTCTTTTTATATAATCCACCCAAAGTTGCTATTGGCTGAATTAAAAATGCAAGAAATAGTTAGCCTGTTGGTTCTGCCTCTCGCTTGTTCCCACAGCCTACCATACCTTAGGAGCAAGAACCTTATTTGTGTAGTATCTCTACAAGTGCTATGCAGTGATCTGGACTGCAAGAGGAAAAAGTAAGAGTGCATGGAGGCATGCTGTACTTGCTGCCTCTCTTTAAACAAAACATGCCTTTCCCTGGGATTGTGTGAGAATCCAAGAAATGATGCGACCTCTCCACGTGGTTTCTGATTCGGAACCAGCTTTTTCAGAGTTCTAAATTGCTTGGGGAGCCTTCGCTGATGGGAATGGAAGGAGGAGGATGAGGAGGGAGCACTTTTAATTGGGTCTTGGGAAGGTGATCCCTGAAAATGGCTTTGGAAAACAGCATGGGGAAAAATAGTCTGAAATAGCAACAAGTAAACACTTTCTTCCAGCGTAGATGAAAACAGCAGATTGAATTCTACTTAAAAAGAAAACTTTCTGAAATTGTAAACAATATAGCCACTGGTGGAAGGAAGCAGGTGATGTTTTTAGTACTTAGAATATTGAAGAGACAGAGACTGATATATATTTTTCATCCAATAGAATACATATATTCTCTTCTATTGGTATATATTTTTCTACATTCCATGTTATTTCTGATTCCACTTTCTCATTGCAAACAAAATAGTAGCAGCTTTGATATTGGACTTTACAAACACTTGTTCAAATATGTCAGCTTCAGAGACTCAAGGTCTAACATCAAAATCCATCATTTTGGCCTAGAGAATTGCAGAGAAGTTTGATTTCATAGCATAGGTAACTGTTGTAAACTATTCCTTCTGTTCTGGAATTCCACAACACATTTGGTTTCACTGGTCCCAATATTTTACTTTCAAATTATAACCTCTTGATAGCTGTCATACTCTGTTGAGGAGGGAGGAAATTTAACCATCAACATTCTGAATGGTAATAAATATGTAAAGAAAAAGGATTTAAGGGGTCTGGAACAGAAACAGAATCTTGTAATGTTCTATCAAGTGAGTCGGTACCAAGCCATATTAAAGACAAATGGATTAAAGAATTGATAGCTTCAAACAATTTTTTTAACAAATGTGGTGTACCTGCCACCAAATGTAGTATAATGTAGTATGTGTATATGTGTGTGTGTGTGTGTACAGGTAGTCCACACTTAACGACTGTTCATTTAGCGACTGTTTGAAGTTATGATGGTGCTAAAAAAGTGACTTATGACTGGTGCCCAAAGTTACAACCAACACAGTGCCCCTGCAGTCATGTGATTGTGTTCCAGACACTTGGCAATCAGCTCGCACTTACGACAGTTGCAGTATCCCAGGGTCACGTGATCACCATTTGCGACAGCTTCTAGCAAGCTTCCAGCAAGCAAAATCAATGGGGAAACTGCATGATTCACTTAATGACCATGTGATTCACTTAACGATTGCAGTGATTCATGTAATGACTGTCACAACAAAGGTAATAAAATTGGGTCTGGTCATGTGATGCTTTCCTTAACGACTGCATCACTTAGCAACCTAAATTCTGGTCCCAATTGTGGTAGTTAAGAGAGGACTACGTGTGTGTGTGTGTGTGTGTGTGTGTGCGTGTGTGTATGATTTCAATTAAAATTGTTCAAGCAATTAACCATGCAAATTAACATTTCCGAAATATCTTATCTTATTGGGTCACAACTAAAGGGGTCAGACAGAAATAAAATTATGAACATTAATAAAATCATATAAAGTGATAGAAATAAGTCTCATAAATTACTGAGAGTCTGCTAAAATCATATGTAATTAAAACATTACTAAAGATTAACAAATAATATAGATGGGTGTAGTTGCACAGAAGCTCTGACATATATACACAGGTATCAGGCAGGAATAACCATATTCTGGAATTCTGATTCCTGTTCCTGATGTGTGATCACAAATTTCAGATTGTTTGCTCTTGGCTACAATATGCTATTAAATTTTCCTTTGCTATTCACATCTTATTTTTTTAAAGAAGTCAAATATGACCTATTACGCAAATTGGCATAAGTGAGAATAGGCATAAGGGTGTGTGCCAAAGAACAGAAGGATTTTCTTTTCAGTAAAGCAGCAATTTCATATACAGAAATGATGGTTGTCTCTCCAAAAGAGGAGACAACAGTTTTCTCCTCTAAGGCAGCAGCAGATACATCTTCTTAGAGGTGAGGTACAAATCTTCTTTTGCAGATGTTCCGTGAGTCAGAATAATGATACCTGGAGGAGGAAGAGATCTCGAGACAATCTTTCCTGGGTTAGCAAAATAAGTTGCATTGGACAGAGCAATATCCTAAGGAGCTCACTGCAAGATGGAAGAGACGGGCAACAACCCCAGCCCCAAAGCACCAGCTGTCAGGACAGTGGATAGAAAAGAAGAGGCAGCCACCAGAGGTAAGTTGTTTTCCGAACACCTGGCCTTGTCGGACAGGGTGGGTATGGCGAGTATCCACATAGGTGACACCTTGGAGATAGATTACGGTTGAGAAATGGCAAAGGAAAAGTTTCTCATTGCTTATTCAACTACGAGACTTGATGCGATGGTGTGCAACAGCTGAGCTGTGCTGTGCTGTGCTGAGCATTTGCTCAACAAGAGGAAGACATGGCTTCACCAAAGTTGGCTGCTGATACACTGGGCTATTTGTATCAGCTCATGTAAGCTGACTCATCCTCCAAGTCTAAACAGAACTTGGGAACAAGCAGTTATTATCTCATCTACTTGGAAATCCCCTTTTTTTCTCAGTTTAGTCACATATATCCTGTGGGAGACTCTCCTCCAATCATTTATTCTAAAAGTTAGATTTCCCTGTCCTATCCTGCCTTGTCCAGAAGTTGAGACATTCTTCCCCTTCCCAAAAATGTAGACAAATGGTGTAGTCAAACAATTATTCTAGGGAACAGCACAAACAGCTTTACTTGCAAGACTGCTTACATGCTGACAGCACGAAAACTACAAAATGGAAAGTGGGTGTGAGAGTGTAGCCCTGATGAGGAGCAAGATCTTTTCATTTACTTCTTGATATAACCACTAATATCAGAAGCTTCCAATTGTCCTATACAAGTCAAGGGAGGGGGTAAAATTGATTACCCGTATCACAAGCTACTTTTGTCTGGTACAATGCATGCTTAAAGATACCTTATTTTAAAACATTAAATATATTGTAAAATGGTGGAACACTGCTGAGAGGTAGTACTTCATTCACATTCTCTCCGTCTAAAGGTTATACACACTGGTGCATAAGCATTCATCCAGCCATACAATACTTCCTCCAATTCTTTGAAAAGCTGTCCTCTCTAAACTCAGCAAGTATCTTTGCTGAGGACTTTTCATAGCAGTCAGTGAGGTACTGAAATAGCCAATGACAGTTTTAAATGAACAACAAGGTTAGGGTTACCAGATCTGAGCTGCAAAAATCTAGGTGATGATTAGATAGCAGCAAATAGAACTTTGCTGCCATCCAGTGGTCTTACAGATTTCTACAGCACAGATCTGATAGCCCTAATTAAGGTAACGTTAAAAAGCTTGACACAACTGTACCCTTTTCTAGCTATTTTCTCTGGCAGGAAGCAGAGAAAATACACACTACCCATATTGGCATGATTGCCTATCCCAACAAAGAAAGCACATTGTTGACATTCAACATAATCAGCCACTATTTGGGGGCCTCTTCCTGAGCTCCCATGCAGATTTAAACAAGTCATTTTATGTCTGCAAAAGGATGACTGTAGTACTGTCCCCTTGACACAAGATAATTGAGAATGTAAACACACAAATTGGCTTACCTTGCAATAATTCTGGCTAAAGGACCTAGATGAACTTGGGAGCACAGATTGTGTTGCTGAAGACTGAATTTATATATCAACATTGAAAACAGAGTGGCTTATCAGTTAGTGAGCTGCTCCCAAATGAAAGATTGTGCAAAACTCAAAGCCTGTTTGCTTACAACAACAGCTTACCCTTTCTGTGCCTCCCTGAACACTCACATACAAAGATAAAACCAACTGTTACTAATGTTATGACCAGTGTGACTGAAAGAAAACGAAAAAGGCAAAGGCAAAAACCTGAAAAGCTACAGCTGCAGTAATAAGAAATGCTTTGTTCTAAGCACTGTAAGAAGGTGCACTTTTCCCTGAAATTGAGATGAAAGCTTTTGTCCAGGTTTATTCTGCCCCATGAGAGCAGCACTGGTTCAAAATATAAAAGGCATTGAATTCCTGAATAAATACTTGACACTATTTGGCTTATATATAAAATAACACAATCAGCCTTTTGGAGGTTGGACATGTTATTCTTGCTCTGATCCTTCTAATTATAATGATACAAATCACAGTTGGAAGACCATGATAAGAATTCAGGACAAGTATTATATTATTATCAACCTCTGCAGCAATGGCTGCACCACCTTTGATGGACTGAGGGCCACACTTGGTCTTTGAGTGGTATGTTGTAGAGTGAACTAACCAGGATAAAAGAAGAGGTAGGGGCAGGACAAAACTAACTGTAATTAAAATGAATATAAATGATATGATAATTATACTCTGCATAATTCTCACAATTAACAATTGGGGGGGATTTTAAAGGGATTCTGGGGCCACATCCACAGCATTGAGAACAAGAAGATATGCACTGTGGTCCTGCAGAATCTAAGGTTCTCTATGTTCCTAGTAAGCTGCCAAAGATAATCCACGGTGTTCCCGCTATGTGTTTAGAGCTAGTGGAGTAAAATAAAGTTTTGAGTTCTTCCATTATGAAGGGCAAATCAAGAACTGTAGGTTAGAAGGGCAAATCAAGAATTGTTTATAAAGGTAATGTGAACTGAAGATACAATTTTAAAATAATGATTAGTTTCCACATGACAATCTCATTGCCAGAATCTTTCAGCACAAAGCACTAATAATACAATCTTTCAGTCCAGCTTTATTGGATCAGTTTGACCATAGCCCTGTACAGCAGGTATTCATCCACTGGTCAAGCAAATGCCTATGGGAAGTCCACAAACAGAACATGAAGGCAACAGCATAATTTCCTTTGGGCTCCTTAGCCACAATTAGCCAGAAACATGTGATAATTGTCATAATTAATAACCATTCTCCACATACACAACTGTTCTTAACGTAGCCAAAATGATGAAACTTGTGACATCACAATGCAAGCTCTGTCTTTTTGTACTTTCTTTACACTGTTGCACACAAGCATTTAAGGGGTAGAGTTTGCATCACAATCCTGCAACACACATTTCAACACTTGCCAGTCCACCCCTCCTGCAGATGCTTATGATTCTCCATGTATTTATCCAATCCCTTCCAGCTATACACTATGAGCTATGTGCAGAAATACTGATGGTTATCTGTCCTGAACTTCCTAAATTGAACTTCATTGGATGAATCTGGGTTTCAACACTATGAAAGAGAAGAAACTATGCATAATTCCATAAACCTCTATCATTTTCCTCTTATTTGCTATTTTTCTATATTGAAAAAAACCAATATGTAATCTTTCCACACAAGGGAGCTGTTCCTTATCATTATGGTTGTCATTTTCTGTGTCTTCTGTAGCTTTGCGATATCTTTTTATACGCATGCCTGTACACACATGCACACACAGTGTTTCTATTTTCATACCACAGATTTCTGCAATAGCCCAAATAATTGTCCATATAGTTGTGGCATTCAACAAAAATATATTTAATAGGGCTATCAGGATTGGAACTGCAAATATCTGATGGATCATTAGTGGACAGTAAATTTTAATTCTTTGCTGTTATCCAGTGGCTGTCCAGATTTTTGTATCTTAGATCTAGTAGTCCCATATGCAAGGAAATTATTGATTCCCGCAATGGATTACTAACAGGTAATCTGTATAACTTCTTCTCACTACAAATAACAATTGCTGGAAGAGCCTGATCTGCATTAGGACTACAGTAAAAATTATTCCTTTCTTCCCATGCGATAGTCTTGCCAAAAATTAATCTTAAAGCTTTCACTGATGCTAACTGGAGTTTCCAGCTGGAGGGAGGAGATGTTTTCTGAGTTTCCAGTGTAGGAGGAAAAACTTAAGTATCACTTCCTATGTGCCCAAACCTGATTAGTCCATTTTCCTGCATCAGCTAATACTTATAATTCTTAAAAATCAACAAAATATTAAACCATACATTTAATATCATGTTTTGACTGCATCCATTCAGATAAAAGTTAATTTCAAATAAAGATTTTGAACACCAATCAACCAGTCTACTCCACTGAATCATCATAGAAATCTTGAAAACCCAGAAATGTTTTACACTAACATTTCTCATTTGCTATAGAGTTTTAAATAAAATTGATGAAAATCGTGGACATTTTAATTAGTAAAAAAATAAGTTAGAAGATGCCACATCTCTAACAGTGATATGTGCAACAAAACCACTAAGCCAAATATAATCCAGGAATCACACAGTAGAGCTCCCAGATCCTTTAAACTCAGATTGGCAATAACAATGGAAGATCTATTAAGGCTGTAATATATATCTACCAAGCTGAATGCAGGCCAGTGGTACAATGTTCTTGAAAGAAAATCAGTAGGATATCAAAAATGTGAAGGGTCATGAATATTTTACACACACACACACACACACATTGGGCTGCAATGGGAACATGGACAAATAATGTGAAAGACAAGCATATTCAGAGTGGGCTAATTTGAAAATGTATAGTAAGAATTTTCCCAAGACTAGACTTGATGGGATGGGAAGAAGGTGAATTCATAGAGCAACAAGCCTCTTGCAGGGGCTTTAAGTCCCCCTGAAAGTACTGCTAACAGTCACTGTTGAAAAAAGAATAATGTACAAGATGATTGCTGTGAACATAATCCATTAACTTCTGTGCAAAATCACTGACACACAAAGAATCATGACTCCCAGGAACATGTTGTGAAAAATGAACAAAAAATCAGAATGTGCAGCAACCAGAACAGCAATTGGATAAAGCAGTGCTACTTTCACTCTGGAATGGAACACACATCCCTCTCTAATACTGCAGGAATATAAAGGCAAATACAGTCAAGCCAGACTCCAAATGCACTTCCTTTCCCCAGTCACATTTCATATATAAATGGAGTTGTTTCATATGTAAGCCCCTTATAAACAGCACCACTCAAGAGTAATTGCAGAGCACTGGGAAAGAGCAATCAACTGACCAGAAAGTACAATATGTTTCTACATTCTTACACTCAGCAAAGTCAATCTTCCAACTAATAAAAAGCTAATTTCATATTTAGGATCAGCATCCCTGACAAATTAGAAAATGTCTTTAATTGTTTGCCAAATCTTTGGCATTAAACACTGCTAGGGGAAAAAGAATAGCAAACACATTGTGAATTATTCTCTTTGTCCTTGCGGAAATAGGACTGCCAGATATCCAAGACAGAAGTTCAGCACAAGTGGATGGATATGTAACTGACTGGAAATGGAATAAAAATAATATCTTTAAAGGAAATTCCTTTGTAATCTTAATGATCTCTGCATCCAATAACAATGCAAAACAAGAGTTAGTTTAAAGAGGCAACTCTTTTCAAAGTATGCTTATTAGGATGTAGGTCCCGCTGAACTCAGTGTAATTTCACTTTTGAACAAGCATGTTTAAAAAGTAGTAAATGTCAGCCCGTGCTAGGAAAAAAGTTTTAAACAACACAGTGAAGTATTATGTTGCATATCTAAAAGCTGATGCTACCACCCAAGATCTTATGAATAAACCTAATAAGCAAAGATTTGCTCCATCTTTAAAGACTGGTGGCTTTGATGCATACAGTATTCATAAAATGGAACTAGCCCAGGAAATATCAGAATCACTACTATTTATCTCAACCTCCTTCCATTATAATTTTAGATTATTGTACTTAAGTTATGTTAAAGTTTTTGGAATAGTGCATTTTAAGGATTACTTCATCAATTTTATTATAATCCAAATAAAATCTGAATTCTGGTGGTCACTAGATGGCCTCAAACACCAAACAGCATTGCCTCTACCAAGTAAATAGCACAAGTAGAGTGATGGAAGATTTGGATGGTAAAAAGTATTCCTGAGAGCTGAGTAGCCGCATCAATTGTTTACAGCTAGAATAAGTGGGAATGTCCCTATCACTTATTACAAAATGCCACTCAGAAAAATTCCAAAAAGCATTATTTTTGGCCAACTTGCTTGGATACACTGACCAAGCTCCAACTTATATTCTGACTACAAATAAAGCACAGCAGAAACCTAGGTATCATTCAGGTTACTATGCTCCAACTTCTTCTACGCAACCACTTCTTTGAAACAATTCTTACAGAAAACAGACCGATCTGTAAAACCTAAAATATCAAGGCAACTCTGAAGTAGGGGCTCATAGGTGTGATAATTAGACTGTAATTATTCAGGATTCTAACTCTTTGGAGACAGAGTAATCTGGGCTCAAGTGTTTCCATATGTCCTGCTCTAACCACGGTTCACTTAGTCTCTTCATCTTTACTCTACTTGGAAAAATCATCTGTGCAAAGAGTTCCCCTTTCCAATACTTAGTGTAAGCAAAGTTACAACACTTCCACCCAGCAAAAGAGGCTGCTGCATAGAAAGAGACACCAGATATTGGTTAGCATACTTTCATTCTCAATATTTGTCTTTCTCTCAAGCTTCTGCAGCCCGCTCCCCATCAAGAACTTCTTTGCCAAATCCCACTTTCACCAACAGTGAAGATGTTGCCCTTATAGCAAACTATCACTTCTGTTTCTTTCTTTTGCCAGAACAACTTTGAATGATAGTTTTCAGTACCAGTCACTTTACTTCAGGCACTTCCTAACAATTCCCCATAGCAGCTAAATCATGACAGCCAAGTTAAGTGCTACAGGGAGCTCCCCATGCAAATTAGAATTTCAATTGCACCACTTTGAAATTTCTTTACCAGCCTCTCTGCCAAAAATGGCCCTAACCCTAATTAAAGAGTTATTCCAGCAAAGAGTTTCTCTACTAGGGTTACACATGGAGAGGGAATCCCAAAACAACAGGCTATATACAGACAGATTAGCAGTCTTCATCACAAAGATGAAGAGTATATAATTCCTGAGGATGGCCATCCTCTGATCTGTGTGCCAGATTTCAATCACCATCTCGCCTTGGAATGAGCTCTACAAAGCAGTAGCTGTTATGTACATGATCTCAGCTCCCATTCCTTGGAGAGTGTCCCTCATAGTGGCAGAAGAGCTCTGGGACAGACTCTAAACTGGATTGTCCTTAGGCTGATTCACCAACAGTAGTGGAGCCTGTAGCTTTCTTCTTAGGACGGGCTTTCATAACTTTCTGTGGAGGCTGTAAAGCAAGAGATGCCCAACATTACATTAGTTGCAAAAAAGATAACTTGTAAAACAGCTCTGTTTAGTTCATCACTGAGCTAACAGATTCAAAAACTGAGTAGTATTGCTAAAAATGCTGATTCTTAAATCCTCTGTTTTACTACTAGTAGTATTCCAACAACTGAACTAGTAATTGTGATCTCTGGAAGTCTGCTTATATAACAGCAGTAACATATTTCAATAAAAATAGAGCTAAAAATGGCATCCTTATTTTATTATTGTCAATATTAGTACTGTTTCTATTGGAAAGGTGAGATAGAAATTTAATAAGTGTCCAAGCAACCAGCTTAAGCAATTTTAGCATGAAAGGAGGGAGATTTAAGAAAAAGGAAAATGAACCTTTCCTTCACAATCACCCCTTCAATTCCAGTAGCAGAACTGGTTTGAAGGGTTGGAATTTAAACAATTAAGTATGGAGACGTAAGGCATGGGATGAAGAAAAACAGATGCTTATCTGTTCTCATTTTGATTTTAAAATTAGAAGACACAGTAATCACTAACGGGAGCTGCTGCCATCACCCCCATGTTTCTGCTTCAGTAATATTTCAAATACTTAATGCTGTAATTGTCTCACTAAAGCAAAGAGAGGAGAATTCTTTATCAGAATGTTTTCATTTTAATTCTTTAAACTGTCTCTTCTGGTGGCTTGGAGACTTGAGTATTTTTTTTCTATTCCCTCTTTTCCTTCTCTGGTGAATTTTAATAATCAGACTGAATATTGGGTGAGCCATTTTAGCTGAACAGCTTTAAACTCATTACGCATACTTAATTCCTGAAAACAGATTGATCGTGCCTAGAAAACAGAAGATGAGGAAAGTTTCATCCCTGGTCAGCTAAGTAAGTTTGTCCTCTATAGAAGAACTAGTACAGTCAGTTAAATATCTTGATGAGGATGGTGCTTCTACAGCTGAGATTTTGACAGCCAGTTGAAAAAAAACCTGTTATCACTTCTGATTATACTCAGGTGGGAATTTTTAAGGGATATTTGCCCTCCAGATAATGGTGAAATTGCAATGTATGTGTAATGTTATCAAGTCAGATCATGCCATGTGTTGCTGTTCATAAGGAAATGGTTAATATTCATACCTAGAGAGGAATATTCTTTATCAGAATGCTTTCATTTTGTTTAAATTGTTGATGAGTGGAAAAACAATGTAAAAGAAAAATGAAAACTGATTTACTGGGAAAGGCAGACACACTGTGTGAAGGGCTTAGGGACGAAGTAAAAAGGAAAGTGTGCCAGGCTGAAGAGTGTATGTAGTTTGCACCATTACAGTAATTCAAGTATTTCCACCCTCGGTTTTTTAAGAAGCAGCAATCTACACACACATAATCCAACTGCAAGCAACTATATGCCATCTCACCTCAGTCTTTATTATTTTCTTAGGAGCTTTAAGGCTCTGGGTTCGTTTGGGAACTTTGTCTCCTGTATCATCATCAGATGGTTCAGTTCTAGAATCAGACTGTGTTCCATTATGTCTCTGAGACACAGCCATGTCCTCAGATGAGGAATAATAAGATGCACCTAAGGAGAAAAACAATAGTAGGGCTGCTTCGTAAAGATAAAAAAGATACTCAAGATGCAGAGGCTTTGGGAGCCAAGGAAAAAATGAGTATCTTTACATATGAGGAATTTAATTCACAGAGTCAAAGGAAATGTGAAATTAAATGTATTTTGAATCTCATAATTGAAATTCCACTCCTTTGTAACAAAAAAGCAGCAGCAGCTTCACAACCCATCTATTCCCTCCACTCTAGACAGCCTTTCTTTTCCTCTACTATTTTAGCAGTGAATACTTAGATTTAGAATGTGAAAAGCTTGTTCATACAGTTATGAAATCAAATTCTCCCTGTTTCTACAACTTCCCCTCTCCAAGCCAGGTTCATTGATTGGATAAAGAGCTAGATGGATAGAGTGTAAGAATAAATGCTGTGGTTATATATGTGGGGAAAGGAAAGCTCCTTTTTTGTATCCACCCACTCTTTTACATGTGATTGAGGAGGATGCACATTTAAAAATACAGGTGAACAGCCGTTATGTGTCCTTTGATCTAGGAGACATTATTTTCTTTTTTCCATGAAAATGTGAGAGGTAATTATCTCCTCCTGAAGACAGATTCTTAAAACTTTTATACTAAGGCTCTCATACTTGCCTTCATAGAAGTTATTTAAAAAGTATTGATCTATAAAAGTAAGTTTCTTGCCAATCCTTTAACAGGTATTGATTTTTATTAGTTTTCATTTGTTGTACGTTGAATTATTCCTTGTGTGTATATGTGTTGCTTTAAATTATAAACTGCCTTGAGTGTTCAGTTTGATTAGAAACCTGACATATAAATCAATAAATTTAATAGAGATTGACTTCACTAACCTGAATCATCAATAGTTTCAAGATGGCCCTTAGCAGACGTATGCATGTTTGACTCGGGGCTTCGTAAATGCATTGTGTCATCATCTCGAATCAAAGTCAAGTCTTGCATGCTGAAACTCCGAAGTTTTTCAGACAAAACTCCCTGGCCCTTTGAAACATAATTCCTAGTTACGACTATCCACGTGTACTATATTATTCAGAATGCATCTTAAGGGGAACATTGGAAGAACCTTTGGTGAAAAACTAAACACAAAGGCAGGAAAATGGAACATTAGGGATATAGTCTGGATAGAAAATGAAATGACTGTCTCTTCTCTAACATGAAGAAACAGAGCAAATGCTATGTAGCTAGTCTACAGGAAGAAAATGAATGCAGTGAAATGAAACACCAAAATCACCAAGCAGAAGGGAACAAGGCAGATATTGAATAAAGACATAAGGAGTTACCTTTGCAGCTGCAGTAACTGCTGCATTTGCTGCCAAATTTAATCCTCGCTTGCCAACACGCATCATAGTTTCATAACTCTTGTCACGGGCCTGGCTAATATATTCATCTATTTCCTAGGATTTAATTGGAGTAAGTCTACATTTAGAAATTAAGATTATTTACCTATAGACCTCTATCATAAGCTTCTTACAGACAAGATTCTAAGCCTTGTAGAGTGCACAAGATCTTTAGGCTTGAACACTGAAATAGAATGCAAATCCTCTGATTTGTCATAATATAATATTATGATATAAACCTTATACCAATAATAAATATTCTCAAATGCACTAGTAGATATTTCCTCATCAGAATGGGCTACAAATTATCTATAGATCATACATATTCTGGAATGAGAAAAAAACATGGAGCATATAAGAAAAATGTTATACAAATCTGCACTAATTAAGTCTCCTGTTTTGCTAATGTACACCAAAATTCAGCAGGAAAAGGCCATAGAAAACTTCATATCTCTCACTCTGAGATTCTGAACAGTGATCATTATATCTGATTCTAAGCAAGCCTACTTGTATACCACAGAAGCTAGGCTTCTATTTATTTAAATTATCAGTTTGGTGAAGACCCTGATAAATTCGCAGCATGTATTCTAACAGTGCATAAGCTACTGTTTTAGGTGGTTGGTGTTTCATGGCCGTTTATTAGATAGTTGATCATTCTGTCTTTGTAAAGGTTTACTAAACTGTGTAGACACTTGAACTCACTATTTAAATTTCAATACTTAGGTGATTTTTAGTGATGAACTTATATGAGCAGTTCAAGCTAATTTAACCTTTTGACCTTTGGGTGGATAAAAAACTAAGGGCCATGACATAATTTGGAAACCCACTTTTTTACATGAAAACTAATTCCTTTATAAAGCATATAAGGGTAAAAGACCTATTTTTTACCTCAAAAAGAGTATACAGATGAGGAGAGCAACTTCCTGTGCTCTGCTACTCAGGTAAGTTTCTTTCAGCTCACTCTCTCATTGGTAATGAAGCAGGCTGGGAGAAAAGTGCCTGAAGTCAGTGACTGAATATAGTGAGGTAAGGAGATCGTTTCTTTCCCAAGGCTATTTTTCGTGGTGTACCTACAGAGTTGTGCAACTGTGAATAACCTGCACTCCTAGACATGTAGTGTCTGACGACCATCTCTGAATGTTTTCTCATTCTCCCCAAATTGCAAGATACTATAAACACAAGTAATAGAATATACATTGCATTTCCATCATTACATATTAATATATGACATTACATTGTATTATAAACACACAGAATATTGTTCTGCATTCATTATTTGCCCCCTGAACAGAAATTAAAAAAACAACAGTCACATCAGGTCTCCAGAAACAAAAAATTCTCCTGTATAGATTCTGTTTTTTTTTCTTCTTCCTAGTTGTGATATACAATAGAATGGGGAAAGCTAGGAGGAAGGGTGTGTGAGGTGTGATTGACAACAAATATTCACCGAGTTTAATTATAGAAATGCTTTTCTGTAGCCTTATATGAAGCTGTTGAAATATGTCACTTTATTTGTATTATTTTATATGAACTGATTGGTCTGAAATAAAAAGGGAGGATGATTTCTACTTATTCCCAACCCCAAAATCTGTTCTGTCCCCTGGTCCAATTTGCTCTAGATGGCTGTGATATTTTCTAGAACGTTGTATGTGATGGTATTGGCAACTGGTGGGTGGAGGTGAAGAAACCTGTAAAAATCACTGCCATACTACTTTCTTGCAGTGGGAAACTTATGTTGGATCCCAGTTCCTTCACTTTGCAGACACTCAGTTCTGGGATTCAACTTATTTATAACTCTATATTTATTTTAATTACTCTCTTTATGCTTTTGATATGTATAAACCACATAGGGCATAGTCTATAGAAAAGGAGGATGGATGGATGGATGGATGGATGGATGGATGGATGGATAGATAGATAGATAGATAGATAGATAGATAGATAGATAGATAGGCAGGCAAAGAGATGAAGAAGACAATAGATCACATCAAGATAAAATTGAGGTACCTTTGATAAATAAATCTGATATTAACACCAAGACAATTTGGCTTATATAAATATTGCAAATATTACATGTATTGTAGCAAATTTAGTCTTCTTCAACATTTATAGCATTAAAAAGATCATTTACACCATTATTTTACTAGAGAAAACAAAAATAGTTCCTGGAGATGCTCTCTCAAGTCTCTATTATCTTAACAAAGCTCACATTTTAGAAATATTAGGCAAAAAGTTATTTGGTATTCCAAATGGAGCAACTGAATTATTTTGTATAGTACCACTGAGATGATCTAAAAAGTTAATTGTCAGATTTATTCTTGATGCCAGCCAGTAGACAGCAATTGAATTATTTATTTGTTTGTTTAGTGATATTTGTATAGCCGCCTATCACACTCCCTGGCCAATGAGACCCGCAACATGCCTCTCCTACCAGACCTGATGGGATGGGTAGATGTAACCTGGGATAGGCAGTCCCTCAAATATCCTGGTCTCATGCCATGTAGGGCTTTAAAGGCTATAACCAGCACCTTGAATTGGACCCAGAAGCAAACTGACAACCAATGCAGATCATGTTGCAGAGGTATAACATGTGCAGATCTCGGAGCACACATAACTGCCCATACCATAGCTGCTGCATTTTGCACCAGCTGAAGCTTCCGGATACTCTTCAAGGGCAGCCCCATGTACAGTGTGTTACAGTAGTCCATTCAAGAGGTGACTAGGGCAAGAATGACTGAAACTAGAGCCTCCCAATCCAGAAAAGGGCATAACTGGCACACAACACGAAGCTGGGCAAAGGCCCTCCTGGCCACGACTGCCACCTGCTCTTTGAGCAGACGTTGTGAGTGCAGAAGAGCCCCCAAGTTGCACACAGGGTCTGTTGGGGCTTGGAGCACCAAAGATGGTAAATCCCCAGATACAGAAGGCCCTAAAACCCAAAGCCACTCAGTCTTACCAGGGTTCAGCTAAAGCCTGTTGTTCTCCATCCAGACCTCCACAGCCTTCAGGCACCAAGAAAGGACATCAGCAGCATCACTTAGGTCACCAGGGGCAGAGATATACAACTGGGTATCATCAGCATACTGATGATACCTCACCCCTTGATAATAGTTGATCTCACCCAGCAGTTTCATGTAGACATTAAATAGGAGCAGAGAGAGTACCAAGCCCTGTGGCACCACACATAGAAGGGGCTGAGAGCAGGACTTCTTGCTCCCAATCAACACTGACTGGAATGGTGTTGATGGCAATTTCACCAAAACATGAACTCTTAATATCTGCTATCTACCTAGTGACTTCTTGTGGTCACTAGAGCCAGTGAGTTGTAGTGTTTAAGGTGTTGGATGGGCACCAGGGAGACCCAGGCTGCCTTGAATTTCTAAAGGAAAGCAAATGTATGAAAGTAACAAATCAAACAATCAATAAATAAAAATTCATATAGTTAAAAAAATTTAAAAACACAAAAGGATTCCCTACTGAGTTCACACCCTGAACAGTAAAATTCCAAGGATCAACAATGAATATTTTGTGGAAAAGTAATAGTTTGAGATATTAATTTATGCTGGAGGCAGTTTCATTGAACTAAATATGAATAACCATGTGATCAAAAACTACTGATTTGTGTATCCTTAACAAAATTTACTTGCTTTTTAGGTAAGTTAAACTCTGAGAGAAACGTTAGTACTGGGATCTGTTAGAATACTTTTACCTTAAATAGAATAGAATCTTAAATGGAATCTTAACTGGAATAATTAGTCTCTTCCTTCTCAATGCATTTGATATGATCCGTATTAAATGCATTCAGAAGGAAGAGACTAATTATTTCCTAATTGGCACTCCTGGGTATTTTACCATGAAACATCAAAGTTTAAATATATATGGAACCTTCACAGCTGATACAAAACAGTGTAATATTGATCTGTATCCAAATACAAAAGAAACAAAGTTGCAGCTTTCAGGCAGTGTGATCAACCTTTAGCTTGGAAAAGGTGGGTCTTTTTTGCATCCCTCAAGTATGAACAAAGAAAATATAAAATGTATTTTATAAGATTTGAAGCTGCCTGGAGGGTACATTTTATAGTTAGCACATTATCTATTCCTAGCATTATAATACTTTATCTAACTGAATTCTTTTTTAACATAACTATTTTATGCAAGCAACCATTTTTCCGTAAACCCCATATCTCTTCTTTTAATATGATGCTGTAGAAAATGAATCATTTGCCACCCAAACCCCAGAAATCATGATGAAGTAGATGGCATAGCATATTGGAGCTTTAAAAGTGATGACCTAAGTTATCCAACAACAACTTTGACTTCATGCTGATTAAGGAAAGAAGTTTAATATTCCAGTGAACTTTATTACTCTGAAGGGTGAAAAACTGCATAGCTGTTCTTACCATTTAGCAAGAGGCAGCCTGAGCTACTTTAAAAGGAAGGCAGGGGAACTTTCACAAAGAAATTTCTGTCATCCCTCTTTTACTTTTCACAGGCACACACCAAACTGATAAATGAAGGTATCCTTTTTGTACCTCTAGCATCTGCTAGAATTACATGGGAGAATGGAAAGCAAATGCACACCCACCATTAATTGCTGCATACCTTACAAGAAATAAGAGAACCAAGAAAAAAAATCAATTAATGAAACAAATGCTAAAAAATTTGGCAAGTTCCAGATTATCCTATGAAAGAATGGAAACCATATTTGTGCACATACTGGTAAAATTCCTGATTTGTGGCTCTCCTTTTGGTTGGAGGTTTCTGAGTCACATCAAATGCTTCTCCTGACAACTAGCCTTCAAGTATGACTTTTTCAGAGAGACACAAGAAGTTACAATAGGAAAGAGAGAGAAAGCCCTGGCATGCACATACAGTAAAACAACATGCACAACCATTTGAATCATAAAAAGGAGCTGTGAAGTCCCAATCAACATTACTCAAATTAGAGCCAGCATATTCTGACTAGACTGCAAACTAGGAATTTACTGTTGCTCAGTAAGACAACTAATTGCCATTAGTATGGGCAGAGAAATTCTCTTGCCTTTTTTCTATCAGGTCTCATTCAACTGCGATGAAAGAAGATTTGTTTTAGAAATTCTTTTAATGGGAATGGAGTTTGGCATTCTTGCACTTAGTGACAAGAACACGAAGGAGTGCATATGAACTACTTTTCATTGTACAATAATCCGTCCAGCAGCCTGCAACCCCCCTCATGCCCAAAATTTCAAGTAGTAAATCAGAGGAGAACTCCTCCCATTGAGCGTTTGCTGTGGTGGTGCTACCTTCATCATTACATAGGAATCCTGCCCTTGAGATAGTCTTGAAAAAGCTCTCTAGAAAAAAAAAGTCTATCTAATTTTTCTGTCCACAAATTAGCTAGACAATTCTGAAAGACTATTTATGCCCAGTTCTAGCTGCCATGCATTCAGCATGAATAAGCATGGGCATGACTAATTTCAAGTTTTTTTCTGCAACCCAACCACATTTGAAGTGACTCAATTTTCATGAGTGATAACTGGGCAAGCTGCAGTACCTTCTCCTTATTGGAGAGCGTTGGGTGAACAAACTTCCTGTACAGGACGCTGGAGCCCTTGGTGTAAGGAGAGAGCAGCCAGATCACAAATGCGATTTTCAACTCGAAATAAAAGGGAAACCTGAGAGAAATGGAAAAGCTAGAATCAAGCTCAGAGTCAGACAAAGGTTGACAGCCCAGAACAGCCCAGATGAGATAAGCAAAGAGAGAAAAAAATGAACTTTAGATAGAATAGAATCAATACAACAAAGCCAGCTATAGAGGAAGTTGCATATTATTATTATTATTATTATTATTATTATTATTATTATTATTATTATTATTATATTTTTATCTCACCTCTCTTTTTATATATAGCTCAAGGCAGTGAATATACTCAATACTCCTGCCTCCTATTTTCCCCACAGCAACAGCCCAGGGAGGTGGGTTGGGCTGAGAAAGAGTGACTGACCGAAAGTCACCCAGCCAGCTTTCATGCCTAAGACAGGACTAGAACTCACAGCCTCCTGATTTCTAGACCAGCACCTTAGCCGCTACAGAAAAATGGCTCTCATTCTTTTCAAGAATGTTCTTTTCTGAAATCTCATTTTAGAATTCTTTTATAACTTTGATAAATACAACACAACAAACTTGAATTAAGTGCCAGCAATTACACCATTGAATTTTTTTTTTCAGAGAGCAATAAACTATCATCATTGTGGAGACTTACATGACTAGTACTTTGCCTAAAAATCACCCAACATCCTCATCCCACTACATACCCCAGTGATTTAAGTCTTTTGAACAAGTTGCCAGTAAGCTGTATTAAGCAACACTATTACTGTAGGATTGAAGTATCATCTTTTCCTCAATGTTTTCAGAGAACAAATCTCTTGATATTATTTTGCAAAGCAGAAGACATTGACGACTTGCAGTAGTACCAGAAACAACCATTTTATTCAGAACCAGAATCCAAATTCTTAAAAATTACTCTTGGAAGAAAGAATAATATATTATTGCCACCTTCAAACATTAAGTTTATGAGACATATCATATGTGATACAGCAAATGAATATTTCCTGCAAAAGTTTAAAATAACAAGACTTCAGAAAGAATATTCAAAGCTGTCAAGGATGGGAAAATAGAATATTTTACTGAAACACTTCACAATACAGTAGCCAGTTCTAGATTGGTGATTTAAAAAAAATGCAGCATCAGGTAGTTCCTATTGCCGGCAGAGAACTTACCATGACAGAATGATGTCTGTGAGCGTTTCTGCTGTGGTGAAGAAGGCAAACACAATCCAATACATCATCCACTTAACCTGCAAGGCAACCATCCCATTAAAAGTCTGCTGAACGTCAGGACCTACCTTAAAACCATTGTTGGATTTATACCAAACATTCTGAAGCAATTCCGTATGACAATTATACCCATGCTCAGCAACTCAGACCTCCCACTTTCAGGACAGAGATTTCATAAGAAAGTCCCCAAAACACAAACATTGCTTTGCATTTCCTTTCATAAATAATTATACAGGTAATTGTTTCCTGATATACAAGAACAAATATTTACATAAACATCATTTTATAACTGATAGTTCTGTAAGCAAGGCTTGTCATGCCTGTTCTTCCTATTCCTTCCCCCTTTTATTTCCCTCAAATTCTATTTGCTTCAAACATCGTATGTATTTCCCAGCTCGGCAATGCGGTATATAACTGTGAGACAGTCACTGTCCAATAGTTTGTCTAATGATAGATAACATAGGAAGCATAGGAAATTTCATTAAAAAGTGAAATCCACTGCAATTTTTCTGCTAATGAAACTTCCCCATTACCCCAAGGTGGGGAAAAAGCTTTTTGCAATCCTCTGCTTTCCTTCAAAACTTGCTTGGAAGTTTAGGAGCCCTAAGGAGCATATTTGGAGTTACAGAGAACCAGAGTGTTCTCCAAAATAGTGCAAATATGCACAAATAGTGCAACTAGGTTGAATCATGATGCTGATTGGTTTTTTGGTCTAAAAAAGCCCCATCAGCATCATGACTGAACATTGTAAATAGTAGTTGATACTGTTTTGTACTGCAATATACTGTATGTGACAAATATGTGTATGCCTGCATCTTGTTTGCTGGCAGGCAGGCGCTAGCTCCCCCTGCTGTTGTAGCAGCATAAGCAGAGCCATGGACTACCTGGTCCAGCATAGTGTTACCCAGAAGCCAACCAGATCCTGGAAATTCACAAGTAGACTGTAGCCTTCTTTCACTGTTGTAGACTTAAAAAATGCTTTCTAACAACTGATGTCTAAAACAGGCTATTATTTTTTAAATTCTAGAGGAATATATTAAGGCTAGCAACCATTGACAGCAATAGCTTCCAGTAATCTGTCTAGTTCCCTTCCACAACCATCTAAATTTGTGACTTTGGATCACAAACTTCTATCTTTGTGATCACAAATTTGCATCTTTGGATCACTGCTGAATCTTCCCACAGTTAACTTCACCTGATGAAATTACAGATATTAAACTCTTCAGGAAAACAAAATCCAGAAGTGATTCTGAAGAGCTCCAGAAAGGTATCTTTAAACTGGGTATACAGTCAATCAAATTATTAATGTGATTCAATTTAAATACATGTAAACAGATATATGTTGGAGCAAAAGATCCTATCCTCACATAAACACCAACAGAATCTGACCTGCCTATAACCAACCAGGAAAAAATCTTGGGATTGTATCAGTGAAGGTATTGAAAGAGTGCACATGAAGTATAAAATATGCAAATTCTGTGCTAGAGACCCTGAAGAAAAGGATTGAAAATAAAAATACCAATATTGTAACGCCCTTATATAAATCTGTCTGTAACTGGAATATTGTGTACAGTTTTGGTTGTTACAGTTGAAAAAGGATATAATAGAGCTGGAAAAAAGTGCAAGAGAGGAATATTTCTCTGTCTCCTAGTTGCAAGCATTCCAGTAGCATCTGGTTGGCAGATGTGAGAAACAAAGTGCAGGCCTAAGATGGACCTGGTCTGATCCAGGAGAGTTGTTTTTTCCTTTCTTATGGTCATGTGTTCTAATATTACAAAAAAACAGAAGAATTCTCAACACTGACACTGTCCAAACATGAATTTATATCCCCTTTTACACACCTCCATTCTAAGCTATTACATGATATTCTTTCCTAATTAGAGATCTTGTTTAGTCCCTAATCATATAAACCACAAGGAAACTATTGAAAATATTTTTGTCTTGAACAGCTGATTCAAACTTGCAATTGCCAGTTCTTACTATAAAAAGATAAAGCCTCCCTCCAGTTGAGTTCAGTTCCTTGTGATTACATGGATAAAACCAAAGCATTTTCATGGCAATGATGCAGAGTTTACCGTTGCCTTTTTCCAGGATGTTTTTCAACTTTCCAGCCTAGCCTACAGTCCTGTAATTCCCTGATGGTCTTTCATCCAAGTACTAATCAGGGTTGACCCTGCCTAGCTTCTGAACCCAGACAAAGTTACTCACATTTTCTAAAGTTGTGAAAACAATTCTGTTCTAGCAGGCTTTCAAAGGTCAATGGTAACCAAGTTTTCTTTTTTCCTTTTGACTTTATATGTGGCCTCAAATCTAAACTGACTCTTGAATCACTTACACTCCTCCTTACAGTATTTGGGTCAAAACACAGAGTAAATATAAAATAATAACCAAACTATAATAAGAGGAAAATAAATAAGCATTATCATAATCATCAGTAATATCATGACTGCCTGGTACCACATCTTCAGTAATATTACACTGCCTGGTACCACATCTTCAGGAGCAATTTCCACACCGTTCCCAAAGGCCCTCTGAAAGAGCAAGCTCTCAGTTGTTTTCTCTCTGGATCTGCACTATTCCCAAGAAGGGGGTCACCGTGGGGTAGATTTGTCCTTGGGGTTCCTGCAGACAACAGTCCCTAGAAGTTAGGACCTGTAGCCACCTCCCCTATGAGAACTCATCAGACAGGCAGATTCCATTCACAGAAGGCAATTTTGGGAATACTTAGTTCTTAAACCGTAAAAGTAATGTCCACCAGATTGAATTGCATCTGGAAGCCTATTGGCAACCAGTGGAACCCCTGTATTAGTGGTGTAATACAGACAAACTGAACTGAGCCAGTCATTATTTGAGTTGCTATGCTCTGGACAGTATATCTTCTAAATGAACTTCAAGAGCAGCCACATATACAGCAAATAACAATAATCCGGAAGTGAAGTGATAAAAGCATGAATGACTGCAACAAAGCCTCCCAGTCAAGGATTGCCCACTATCTCCTTCCACTTTTCCACTGACAATTCTAACTCTTCTGCCATGTCCACGTACATTTCTGTTCTTCCAGCTTGGTTTCTAACTGTCAGCTACAAACTTTCCCAAATTGGTCAGATCATAACATGCAGGTTACCACGTGCTTTCTGCTCTTTCCACCTTCCAGTCCTTCCTTCATGGATACTTATTCACATGGAGTGGCTTTAATGGCAGCCATGGTTTGTGGGTTATTTAACCCTGTGTTTGGCATGGGTTCATGATGTTTTATAGCATGGATTTCTGAACAATGGTATTTTATAATTGGTTTCCACTGCATGTGATCAAAAGCCATGGAATTAGGTGAACTTGCCAGTTTCTGCTGTGCTCTTTCCTACTAAGATTTAGGGTACAGAATACCTAAATATTATATATTTTTATATTTATAAAAATACACTTATTTTATATTACTTATAGAATATTTAGTAGAAAATACTATTAATTAATAAATAAAGGTTGGTCAGGTGCTGCTGAAAAGTTGTTGGTATTCTTAATCTGTAGTAATTTAGGTATAGATTTGTGTCATCATTCTGGGTAATCAACAGGCTTTCTTGCCTAACTTAGATCCTAGACTAGTGGCAGGAATGCATTTCAAATTCTGATCCTTTTAAGTCAACAAGTCTGAAGCCTGGTTTGGGAACTGACACAGATAATTATCATTAATTATCTATCAGTGAATAATTATCTACCCTGAAAACTGGGCAACTGGTACTGGCGGCCATTTACCTGTTATGGATAATAGCCACTGACAGAGCTATCCTTAATGAATTTTTTTATTTTTAAGAGCAACCAAAAGCAATTACAATGGCCACATCTTGTGGCAAGGAATGATGGCTTTATTATAGAAACACACCGATATAACTGTGTTTTATTTTCAGCCCTATTCCTAACATTCCTTACATGGAATTTACTTTTTTCTGCTGCCAGTTCACACTTAGCAGATTATTTTCAGAAGTTTTCTATTATACACTTAAGACTTCTCCAAGATAATCACAGATAGTTCTGATCTATTAGTGAACATGTGAAGATAAAAATTTCACTTCAGTGGGCATCACTTTAAACTTACATTGAATCAAATCCTCTATTTATATAAATTCATGTCAACTTAGTTTGACACTGAGGACTGAAACTTCCTCAATCATCCTAGTGGATAATCTGTGTGAGAAAAGAAGGAAAGCACTGCCCAATGGATGCTTCAGGTTACCGTTATAGCTTTCAGTACCATCAGTTACAGTTTTTCAGGATAGGCAATATACACTTGGTAGCAGGAGCCTAGGAGCCCTGCTTTACACAAGAGCCATTATTATTTTATCATGCGTAGGATAGTTTGGGGAAACTTCAAGGTTCTATCACATCTTCTATTACCAAAAAAAAAAAAAGCAACCACACACATATCCTACTGGGAGAGGTTTTTAAGAAATGTTTAACAAACTGCCATCAGTAAGCTGGTGATATGTACAATGTTTCACTTGTGGTTCCTGACTTTATTGCATTTTAATTAAAATATATTTTATGTTGTATTTTAATAGACTTCTACTCTTATATGACATTGACATTTTAAATTATTGTAATTTCCCTGAGTAGCTCTTTGAATGGGTTGGGATAAAAATCTCTATATCCATGTAGAGATATATCTGATCCAAGAATCAGATGTGGTAATAGTCTCCAAGTCAAGCAGTTTTAAAAGAGGATTGGACAAATTCATGGACGATGGGCTATTGCTATTCCGATGGCTGTTGCTATTGGAGCTTTGATGGCTGTTGCTACTTCTGGAATTCTAGGTGGCATGCCTTGAATATCAGCTGCATTATACTCTTGCCCATGCTTCCTGAATGTATCTGGCTGGCTACTGGTTTGATTGAACAGGATTCTTCTTCTAGAAATAAAAAGCAATCTTACACATTCTAGATCTGGGATGCTCAACATGTGCCTTATACCAGTGTTGCCATGGACATCTGCCAGATTGCTTGGCCCTCTGTACTTTTCCATTTTTTTATTGCATAATGCAAAACAAAGCACCAGTCTGCAGGATCTTATTTATTTAAAAAATGCCCTTAGATACCACAAAGATCTATAGGTATTTTTAGAAAATAAAAATGGTGGATGATTACAGTTCAATTATTTCTTTGCAAGCCTAGAAAAAAAAGAAAATCATAATCTAGGGATGAAAGCAGATATCCTCATAGCCTAGAAAGAGTGGCAGGAAACCTCTCCACCAGTTTGCCTTCTGGTAAATTGGTATTTTGTGTCAGCTTAAATTAAATGTGGAACCATTTTATAGATGGATAAGCTTTCCATGGCAGCCATTTTCTCTGAATGCTCCTGACAGGGTCTCAGAATGTCAAATGGCTCTCTGGCCTAAAAAGATTAGAACCCCTGATTTGGTCCAGAATATTTAGAAGCATCTTTCTTCCTCCATATATTGCCCCTACAAGATGTTTCAATCTTTTAAGGAACATATGAGCAACCCACAACTTATTACATGCAGCTTCAAAATTCTCATTTTTGGAGCTCCCAGAACAACTTTAGTTTGGTACCAGTAACATTCAACAGGAAATTCATAGAATTAAAAGATTCTTTGAGTGAGTTTGGCCAAAATAAAGAGGCTTCTAACAGTTTAGGGTCCCACACAATGGTTAAACATTTTAGCCCTCCACATTGGTAATATTGCCATGTCACCAATCCCACACTTTGTGAACCTCGGGGCCCCAAAAAAAAAAAAAAAGAGGCAGACATTAGTCATTAAAAGTTTGCTTTGGTAGGCCTATTCTAAAGTAAGGCTACTTAATAGCATGGCAAGGGTTTTTTTCAGCATTTCCTTAGTGGAACAACCTGAGGAAGGAAGAAAATCTCATGAGCCATACTATTAATTGTTTGAATGAAAAGGTCAAAATATGTTGCATGACATATCCTGCTGCTGCATTTCACAGATGTCTTTAATGTTAATTTATTTTAAAAGGGTAAAAGCTTTTTAAACTTTGAGTTATCTTGAGAGCTTTTTAATTAAAAATGAGAAATAAATGTAAGACAGCTAAATAACTGAAATATCACACAGTCAAAACTGGCATAAGCATTCTCTTTGTAAGAATAATGTATACTTCTACTTTCTAGTTTCCTGTCAAAACAAGCATGACAAGAAGACACCTTAAGAATTGGAAGTGTGGGTATCACAAGAAACATAGTCAGAATAGACATATGCTTTGGAAAGTCCCATGTTGTTACTTCAACATCAAGTCAAAAGTTCTCAAAAAGTATGAAGTACTGAAACTAACTAACATTTGTGGATCACATAAATGGCATAATCCATACTAGGCCCACAATAATTTCCCATCTGCTGTTTTCAAAAGCTAACAGTGTGAAAGTGCAAATGTACTGGATACCAGAATCAGTTTAGCATTGTAAATGCAATCTAGTGTTAGCCACCTAGAGTCACTTATACAGTGAGACGGACAGTGTATAAAATTGATTAATAAACAAGTAAATTGTATATCACAAGTATTTTGTAAATTGCAAACTTCTAAAAGCTGCTCCAGGAAGACTTTCAGCCAGGATTTTCAAATGCAGCCAATTAATTACTTTTCTCTACAATGAACTTTTGTGAAAGTTCCACTTACATGTATTAAATAGAGATTTACCTGCTACCCAGAGTCACTGAGAGTCGGGCAGCATACAAGTTTAATAAATAAATAACAATAATGATCCTATAAAGAAAGTACATACTTTGTTTTGCATAGTAAAGCATGGAACAGCAAACTAAGAGGCATGTGTGTAAAAAAGCAGCACTGTTCTTGAGACCAGTTTCAACCTTTCCCATGTTTTCTATTTCAATTCCTTATCTATTTCTCATTAGTTCTGACATACACAGGATTAATGTACATGTTTTGACTTCCTTAAATCCCAACACAGCCTATTCACATTTTCATGAATTGCTAAAAGTAGTCTAGGAATGTTCAGTCCTGTACTTTACAATCCAATTAAGAAACCTTCATTTTAAAATAGATTTTTGCTTGTCCGATTTCATAGTAATTTTCAGGTGGCACACCCCATGCTAACTATTTGTGACAACACTCCAATATTCTAAAGTCCGTACTAGAATAAAGAGAGCCACTAAACAGTGGCAACAAAACTGAGCATTGGGTTTTCACCATTCAAAAGCACTTTTTAGTCTCCCATGCTTTGTGTGAATGTCAGTGACACAATAATTGTTTTTAACATGCAAAGTACAGTGTTAAGTTGGCTGAAGCCTGCAAGATGGTAGCTTTTCTGAAGATTGTGTACCATTAGAAGCATGTGATGCTTTAGATTAGCTAGCACTTTATATTAGCTGTAACTTTTACAACTCAACAAGCAAGAGGTGATTAGCTGAAGAAGTGGTATGGTGACATCATCAGCTTATGTAGGGGTGTGTGTGTGTATGCATGTGATGGGAAAAATTGCTTAAGAGTAGAACAAGCATGTCAGTTCTATCCCACAATATATTCACATCAAATAAACAAGATGCTCAATTTTTTTACTATCATGTTAACAAGAATACAAAAAGTAAAATCTCAGCTTCCTGCCCATTCACAAAACCCGGGCATTTTCCAAGCAGGAGACAAGCCATGAATGATAGCAGAGAAGGGTTAGTCCTTACAAATGTGATGGTCACCTTGCACTTACATATTCCTTCACGTTTTTCGTCTTCACAGCTTTGTAAGAAGAATAGGCAGGGTACAGGGTGCCAAAAACCAGACTGCAACCAGAGTTTTAAACACAAAACAAACAAACAAACAAAAAGGGGTGGGGGGGAGAAAGCGAGGTTCCAGTTATTCGGGGCGGGCTCCAGACTCTCGTAAATCTGAGCGACTCCCAGTCCCCACCCCCCGGCCCACCGAGCAGGCCGAGCAACGAGGCGCTTTGCTCTCCACCTGCCGCATCCACAATCCCCTTCCTCATCCCCGAGGCCCGTCAGGCTGGGTCACCCGACTGTCTATTTCGCGGCAGTTCCCCCCCCAAGGGGGCGAAGGCCCCCCGGGGATCAGGCAACGCCCCGTCTGCTTTCTCCCCCGCCAGGTTCAGGGCGAGAGCGCTCGCCTCCCACCCGCAAGCCGCCCAGGGGAAGAATGCGGGGGCCGCTAAAGCCCAGGGAGGGCAGCCCCGCGGCGGGCGCCTCGCGAACCGGCTGCCAACCGCGCGAGCCCCCTGTCCCCATCTTCATCCCGTTGCCTGGCAACAGCACAGAGAGGGCCTGCCGCCCGCCTCCCCTCCGCCGTCGCCGTCGCGCTCTTACACCACCAGCCGGGAGATGATCCAGGACACCATGGCGAGGCCGGGACTCCTCCGGCAACAGCGGCGATTGGGAGCTGGGTTTCAGCACCGGCTGCAGCGGCAGCAGCGAAAGAAAGCGGGGGGCTCTTAAAGGGCAGGTTTCTGCAGCAAGCGTAGCCCCGCCCCATCTCCTTAAAGGGGAGGGGCTACCGGGGCGTCGGAGGAAAAAGAGGTGCGGACCGCATCCCGGAGGACTCGCCAGCTTAAGTCTGCTCGCCCGCCCCTTTCTTCCCGATAGCAGACCCTGAACTGGGTGGGCATTGCGTCAAGCGATAGCAGCTTTGCTGCCTGTAGACCGGGGTCCGTCCTAGAGCAAAGCTGAGCGAGCGCACGTTAAGCCTTCCTTCAGCCTCGGCATTAGAGAGCTTAAAAGACCTGGGCGGCTACTTTGAAAGGTTTAGGCCGGAGCAAAACCCGGCATAGGATAAAGCCCCTTTAATCCACAGCGGAGTTAGTGCGCCTTTTCACGAGGGTTTTCATTGTGCATGGTAGGGGACACTCAAACGCAAGGGAAGGAGAGAAAATGACTCTTTTCCCCTGAAGTTTCCCTTTTCCAAAGAGAGAGAAAGATGCACCAGCATGCACACACACTTGCACGTAGAGTAGGATCTGTAGTAGGGAGGTACAGTACAGTAAGCTGGTACTGTCGGTCTTGCCGTATTCAAAACTGTTTTTGTTGACAAGCCAGTAATCAGAAAAAGGGGAGACAGAACCTCTGGCTTAGCGATTGCCCCCACCTCCCCCAATTACTGGAACATGGGCTTCCTCTCTTCTCGTGCTGGGAACAGCAACATCCATAAAGAGGTCATGAGGACCGTCTTATAGCATATTTTGCCCTTCATATCCTTGTGTGTGACTACCTTGCCACACCTGAAATTGTGATGAAATGCTAGTAAAAATGAAAGAAAGTAGAAAGATGATCAACTATAGTACATCCAGTGAGATTAACAGAATCATAGAATTAATGATAGAAGGAACCAGGAGTGTCAACTAATGCATCCCTCTGCAATGTGCAGGAAAAGCAATTAAATCATCCTTGAGAGTTAGCTGCCCACCTCTTCTGATGTTCAATGAGTGGACAAGCTTTTTTAATCTAGTAGTAACACAAACTGCAATTGTTAAAAAGCAAACTTTAAAAAAGTAAAAATCTCAGGCATTCAAAGAGGAAATATGGCTGAAAAGAAAAAAATATACAAAACAAGCATTAAAAAGCATTGGAATAGGTATGAGAAGATTTCCCTTGCGGTAATCTCAATATCTTCAAGTGTTGGTTTCACACATTTTCCACTGTAGGTGGTAGAACCAGACCATAGTCAAACCTCTTGCAGAAGGTACCAGCAGCCTTGAAAGCAGCATTGAGATGCCATTTCTTCAAGAGGCTTACTCTGGATCCACTTTTATTGGACAATCATTGTTCTATAGTCAACTTCGCCTTTGTGGGGAAAATGTAGAGAAAATGACTATCTAGCCAATTTCAGACCCTGTCATGGGGCTGAAATTGCACTGATTACCCTCATAGATATCTGTAGCAGGATTTAGATGGAGGGAATACAACCATCCTTGTCCTACTACCTCAACAACTTTCAATACAGTCACAACATCCTTCTGGGCAATCCACAAAGGCTGGGAATGAGAGGCACTATGATACAGATGCTCCACTCCTTCCTGGGTAGGCGGATCCTTTTTTGGTGGTGGTGGGAATAGGTCTGGCTCATTACAGGTCACTCCAGGGCTATGTCCTCTCCCCATTCTGTTTAACATCTATATTAAGTCTCTGGAAGAGGTCATCCACTGGCTTGGGGTGAGGTATAATCAGTACACTGATAATACCCAGCTTTATATTTCTTCCCTAGGCCAAATGGGGTTGCGGTAGAAGTCCTGATCTGGGATCTGGATAGGGAGAAACATGATCAGATTCAACCCATGTAAGAGGGAGTGGCTATTGCTTTAGAAGCCTGCTGTTGCTGGGGTTGAGCCAACTTTATTCTTGATAGAGTAGACCTTTTCCATGGAAAGCAGGTCTGCAATTTGGGGCTCCTCCTGGACTCATGATTCCTACTGGGGAAGCAGGTGGAGGCTGAAGCCAGGAGGGCCTTTGCCCAACATTGGCTGTTGCACTCATGCCCCTGTCATCTTCCAGCTTGACTGTTGCACTTCACTTTACATAGAGTAGAGAACCACTTGGAAACTTCAGCTGGTGCAAAATGCAGCAGCCCTTGTGCTTACTGGGTAGTCTTCTTATTGCCATGGGATACTTCTGCTGTGGGAGATTTATTTATTGAGAGAATTTATATACATTGGCTACTTGTATACGTGCAATTTCCAAATACAATTCAAAGTGTTGATTATCCACTATAAACTCTATATGGTTCAGAACCTGGGTATCTACGAGACCTCCTACCTTGGATTCTGTCTGCCTCGTCTAAGTGAACCAAGAATCTTTGTTGAAACTCACACCCTCTTGAGAAGATGGAAAGAGAGCCAAAAATGGCTATTTTCTGTGACAATTTCCTTCCTCTGGAATAGCTTGTCCCCTAAAGCAAAGATAGTCCCCACTCTCATGGCATTCCAGAAGCTTCTAAAAACTTGGCTATTTGTGGAAGGTCATTGGAATTTGACTGATACATTTAGCAGTGCCAGGTCTGAAAACTATTATTATATAAGGTTATTTTTACAGAACCAATATTCTAGAGCAATATTACGAAGTTCTCCCCAACTATTTGCCTAACATCCTGCTACACCTACAAGGTTAACATCTCTAAGAACACTGCTACTGTATTCAGGTTTCCTTGCTGCTTAAGATAGGCATTATGTGTACTGACCAGTATTTTTCTAGACCTATTTTTGTTTTTCTAGTATCACTTAGGTTATGGATGTATAGGATCAAAGGTCAAAACAAAAGAAAACAAAGCCTGGATCCTTATGATCACCAGTTAGAATCAAGTACCTGACTCATTACAAAGGGATATAGTAGCCCTGCCCTCAAGCTTGCCTAGAATTTGTGTTCTGTTCCAGAACAGAGCTTTCAAACTCCATTTTCTCATACAAAAGTGTACTTCAGATTTTTCTCTCATGTTTGCTTTGTTTCAGCAGTCTAAACTAGAAACCTAAACCCTTTGTTTACTACTGTACAGTATGGTACTGTAGATACTAATGTACTGTCTATCTTTCCCCCACATCATGATATCCCGTAGCAAATGTTCTGCACTTTTCAGGCTAAACCAAATCAGAATCCTTGGTAACAATACTTGGTAACAAGGAAAATCAGTCTGAAAGGGTTTTTCTAAACAGATCACATGACTTCCTCATCCTCCTTATCACATTTATATTCACCTATTGATCCCTTCTATGAATTTATTTAGGGTACTTTTTAAGACCAAATCAACACAAGGCAGAAAGGATAAAGTCTCCTCTGAGTTCTCTTCAACTCTTCATGACACCATGGATGTATCCATGTAATTTTCTTAGCAAGACTATGGAAATTATTCACCACTGCCTTCTAGAATGTTTTTTTCAATTTTCTAGTCTATCTTATAACTTGGTATTTTCTGTGCTTTGGCATCCTAGTATTAAGCATCCTTTTAGAGTAGGTTCCATTATAAAAACATAGAACTGCAAACAAAACATATCCACATAAAATATACATCAATATAAAAGTAGTATAACTAGAACAAAAATGATTAATAACAAGACCAAAATAGCAACACTTGTCTCAGTGCAGTATCATTTAAATAAGATATTTTAGTAGTAGAGAATTTAACAGAAACAAAATAGTATAATAGTTGTTATACTTGGGAAGTAGTAATTCCACTTTTTGAGGAAGAAATGGCGAACCAAGACAACTCCACTAAAAGTGGAGCCAACAACCACAGCAGAATGAAAAGGCGGCAAGTAGATCAAGTCTTCATAATTCCTCTCCGGACAAGGAGAGGACTTGAGATCACCAACAAGTACTCCAGTTGCTCCTCACAAGGAGACAAGACAGCTCCTCGTGAGGAGCTCTGGGAGACAAGGGAGTAGCCATCTTGCTCAAGCTATGGCCGGTGCCTTGAAAAGGATGCTAGGTTCGCATACTTCCTTTTCTGATCACTTTCGGAAATCGCTTATTAACTGGTTTTCAGCTATTAGGAACCTTTGGATTGACAGTCTGAAAACACCAGGTGAGTTCCTTCAATCCTTAGTGAAAGAAGTTTTAAATACAAGTTTAAGGGCTTAAAAAACATTTTTTTAAATAAACAGCAAAAGGGTGATTAGAACTTTGATTTAGAAAGTTACAAACAGACTAAGGGTCCAGATGGATTTGAAATAAGATTTTGGAATTAATTATAAGAATCATTCCTGTGGGAAAATGCTTTTGTTTTGAATTCTTTTTTTTAAAAAAGCATGATAGGATAGGATTTTGAAGGATGGACACTACAGGGAACTAGAAAGAATTAAAGATTACAATTAAAGAAGAACACTTCAATTTGACTTACAGAATGAAGAAAAATATTTTAACATTGGACATATTGAAGGATATTTTTGAACAATGGACCCAGAAGTTCATTTTATTTTAAGAAATTCATTTTATTTTAAGAGTGTCCGCCTCTATAGATAGACTGTGTTTAAAAGATGTTATGGAAGAGGAACAAGTTTTACCTGATAAGTTTGAGACTGATCTGAAAGCTAATTTAAAAATGACAGGCTACAAGAATGATATGGAAAAACATGCTACACTGGACATACAAAAGAAACTAGCTGATGAATTAATAATTAAAAGGGATTTACAAATAACAAACCAAGAGAGTGACCTGGATAATTTCCCTATATTGGATTTACAAAAGAGCCTTTTTAAAGCTTTGAAGACTTGTGAGAAGGGACAAAGAAAAAACGAAAAGAAATCAAGTTCTAGGATATTATTTGAAGGGACTAAAGGCCAAGAAGGAATATAAAGTTGGTTTATTTGATCAAGGTTACAATAGATGGTATCTCTGGTAACTCTTAATAGACTTTTGCTGACATCAGGACTGTAATGACGAAGTTTTAAGGATTTGTTTATAGATAAGAGATGAGATATGGGAAGAAGAGATCAT